ATATGAACCTCGTGCAGAATAATATTCAGGAGGCATGTATACACTAAATAGAATAATACTGGAGGTATAGATGCATGGTTCATATAATAGGGCTGTATGCTAAGCGTACATTCCAAAGGGTTTTAGTCCTGGGGGGAGCGATATTTTTTAAATAATACTACACATAGATCATTATTCCTCAATTAGTCACGTTCTCCAATTAGTCGTATCTAAAACGCTATGTTTTGAGGCCTTCACATAAAAGCATTCCTGCAAAACTGTACATTACAAACAACATTTCCGCTAGAATCCTTGCATTGTCCATATGCAAGTATTTCTGCCTCTATTGTATTACTCCGCCAATAATACATTCGACACAGCTATACCACCTGCACCTGCGCGTAATTAATGGCTTGCTCTCTTCTTTAGAATGTAGCCCTCAATTCTTCACATAATACTATTTCATAGAGGTCTATACTCATCGATGATTGGTTTTGCCCAAAGAATAGGAACCGAAATTTGGAACACATAGACCGCAATTCACACATTTTTGCATTTTCGATGGGTATATTGTACGAAAATCCTTATCTTTCAAAGGACGGTTCTTGAGAATATCCGTATCCCTCATACAATAGTGTATTTTGAATATCATTGCACTCCACAGAATGCCACTTCTCATTTTCCCTGCTTTCTAGATATCACATGAGTGCAGGGACAATAATTTCTTTCAAATGAATGTGCTACAAGCTCTGTATTAGTTGTAAAATATCTTCCCTCCCCTACAATAACAGCATAACCGGTAAACCTATACAATAATATTCCTGATACATCTGTATTCTTTATCAGCATCGACACTCTAGACATATGTGTACACCTTATATGATTCTACCCTCCATATAATAATACACCACGTATATCTATTCACTTCTTACAATGGAGTCATTTATACATTACTCTTCCTTGCCAGGGACGACGGATAAAGATAATGATACGGCATCCATATTCATACACTTTAAATGATAGTACTCCCGGTACAGTAGTATTCACTTCACAATGCTATTCCTAATATTTGAATACTTCGCAAACATCCACATTGTTCACATAATAGTACCCTGGGAATGATACCACTAGAAGCCAGTAAATAATTCTCACACAATACTATTTCACGCACATGTGTACACTTGCTGTAAATGTATTCTCCTAATTTTGAAATTCCACACATTATACGGCTGTTAATATAATAACACTCCAGGGAGTGGTATGAATTTGCAACTATTGTGTTTTCCCTATAATATAAGCCTAAACGGTAGGCCATGATGTTCCACCTCTTTTAATAATTGTGCAAGGGGGTATCCAGAATCCCACCACAATTGTGCACTCCAAGACATCACAGTACGGAGATATGAGTACACTCACAAGACTGCGCCGCAGATCATCCGTACGTTTTATACAATTATGCCCCTAAATGGACAGTACTTTGCAGATATCAGTATAGATCAACCATTAATACATTGATATAACAGTACTACGAGAATCTCCGCATTCGTCATCATGGGAAATGGGGACACATCAATACTTCCTTGTCATCTACCCTTGTAGAATATGCATGCACTTCATAGAATATTACCCTATGAATAATGACACAACTCGAAAATCAGTATTCTTCACACAATAATACTGTTAACATTACAGTGGTTTTGGCATAGCTGCATTGTGTAGATAATATGATTTGAGGCAACCTTTGGGATTTGGGGAACCCCGCAATTCATAGCATCCAGCCATTATATCAACATGACGACCCTTCAAATAATGGTATTCCAAGGACAGTTGTACTCATCAGGACAAACTACTCTATACATAACATTAGTCCTTCTGAACTAACAATGCAATTCACAAATCCATGTGTCCTACACAAAGGTGCACTCTATACGGAGCTACTACCGCAACTTCGACACATTGCATAACGGTGGCACGTCCTCATACGGCACAAAGCTAAGTCATAAATTCTACACTCCCCCTTACTTTACTTAATAATAGGGGATTAACTTTGCCACTCATCAAATGTCGTCGTACCAGCCATATCAAGCATCTTTAGATATGAGTACTATACATACCTCTGTAGTGTCTCCATAACAATACTCCAAGTCATGAATACTCGTTCAGCAAATATCCTCTTCAAATGGAAGTATTATCCACACGAGAGGCTTGTAAACAGGACGATACTCCTTTCACACCATTACTCTCCCAAGAAATCGTACTCCAAACGTTATTTTACTCATAAAGGCAGGAAATTCGACACATCATGGTTCCGTCAGTAGAGTAGCACTCCAAGTGATCCATATAGCTCGACTACTTATACTTTCATAGAAGAGGACTATGGGGACTTTCGCATTCTTCACCATTGAGAATCTACAAACATCAGTACTCTCTGGATAATACTTATACTGGAATATGTATGGATTTCACAGGAAATTGTTATTCATATAATGAAAGCATAAACCCTGAATCCTTCACATACACTAGTACATGCACCACTATACTCGTCACATAATAGTAGTACACGTATATCCGCGCGCATCACTAGCAATAGAAATCCACACGAGTATTGTACAAATAATGGTACCCCAAGTGCAGCTGCTGTTTTCAAATACCAATAGAATAACGGTGTTACAATTCTCCACACGTAAATATTGCGAACTCTTGGGTAGGTTTCATATACAGTGACAGTGGAGGATATCCGTACCCCTTACGTAGAAGTGCTCCTTATATATGTCTCCTCCAAGCGGGTTCCAAGGTTCGAACGATTTAGTTGTTCGTACAGTACTCGTATAATCCCTGGACGCACATATAAGAATACTGCTAGTGCAGATGTATACTTCACAACCAGGGACCCCTGTAAGATGTTCCAGCAGCTTACACACTTCTGCTCCTTATATAATACTACAGCACGTATATCTGTAAACTTCATCCAATGGTGTCTTTTATATAATAGTGTTCATGAGACACACATACAGCGTAGAAATAATGTTAGCTTTTGCAGGTCAGTAGTATTTAAATAATAGTACTACGGGCACTGTAGTACTCATCCCCAGAATGTTATTCCTCCCATATCAATCCTCGGCAGACATTCGGACTATTGACATGATTGTACTCTGGGAATATCAATACATGAAGTTAAGAAGTTATTCTCACCCAAGGGTAATCTAAGGATATCCCTACACTTGGTAGAGCGGGGTTGTTAAAGTCATGAATCTTCACAAGATACACCACTCTTAAAATAATAATACTTCAGGGACTGCTAGAAGCTCCACACAGTAGTTTTGTGCGTATAATATAAGTCAAAATCCTTGGATTCGAAATTTTTACCCTCCAGATAGTTGTGCTTCAGGCACATCTATAATCTGTGCACCATTATGTTTCCTAAATGAAGCTATTACGCACATATAAATATACTCACAAAATACGATTGAAGATTATGCATACTTCTAACCGAGGTATTCTACTGAGACATCAATGCACAACAAATATTACCAGAGCTCAAGTATTAGTACATTCATATAAGAATACAGGACGAGACTTCGGCAATCTTCACCATTGTAAATCCATACACATCCGTATTGTGCACGCAATTGCTCTTCTGCTACATCCATACACTGGACGAGATAGTGCTATATAAATGACACTCGTGAAATATCAATACTTCACACACAGATGTACGGTTCATATCATAGTACTCCTGGCACCATAGTACTATCGAAACAATGGTCTCCCTAACATTTCTTAAAGGTTGTACAATCCCTTAGTTCATATAATTGGACCATTAAACTTAAATAGACACCCTTTACATAATGGCACTTCAGAAACAGAAATCCTCCTCTAGGGAAACCATTCCCTATATAACCGTAATACTCCTCAAATGTTGCAACACTGAACAGGTCCATGTGTTTCGCACTATAGTATCCCTTATATAAAACTATTACGGAAACAGTGATACCATCCACAGTGTAACTCTCTGCATAGAATAAATCATGATGCCATATATCTTATCTGCCTGAACATAAATTACTTGACAGTACTATCGTAATTTTCTGATGCTCCGAATAAGAATCTACCGGGGATATTAGCACTCTGTAGCTAGGAGTATGGCCTATATCTACGTACTCCTCACACAATAATACTTCGAGTCCTCGATGCCTCGCATCCAACTGTGCAATTCAAATGAAGGTATTATCCAAACAATATTATTGTTAACATAACGGTATTACCTGTACACGCATACTTTCCAAGAAATAGTACCATAGATATAGTCCCACTACTGAAGCTACATAAGGGCACAGACAACGCTATCCGTAGCACAACTTCACTCCTGGAACATCAATAACTGAGACAAAAATGTACTCTTAAGATCATCATACTCCTGGAGTAACAATACTCTTTAAGTAATAGTATTACAGATGACTCCTAGAATTTGCGCAATCCAGCACTTCATGTAATCAAGTCATTAAACTAACATGGGAACACTTGACATCCTGATCATCCAAGGATAAGGTTATTCCTCGTAAGACACCGCTTCCCATATAACAGTAATTTCCTTCAATTAACCCTTCACTCAACACATGAACACGCAGAAAGCAGAAGTATCCTTAACATGAAAATGCTACCGAAGCCTGTGCACTCCTCATATGATACCTCTCCCCAAATGGTGAAAGGTTACGCCACATATATGTTATCATCCCAATACATGACTTAATAGAACTGTCTGGACTTCGCCACCATGCAAATAGCAGCGTACGGAGCCCGCCTGCTATGGCCAGATAGGAGTACTATACATACTTTTCTACTTTCCTCATATTGGCATTGAAAATCAAGAATACTCATTAAGAAACTGTGTTATATAAATAGAAGTATTATGCACATGACAACATTTTTAACAGGACAGTACTCCTGGTGCACAGATACTCTTCCATAGGATCCTATTTTAAACATAATGATATCCATTATGGCACAGCCCACAGCACAAAATGGTGCAGCTTAGTATGATAACACTAGAGGTCATGCAGATAGTTATGCTACTAGGACTTCCATATGACAATACGATGAGAATCTCCGGATTAGGAACCATTGAGAATCCAGACACCTTAGTACGGTTTAAGCCACTGCTGTAGAATACTCATACACTTCATATAACAATAGTACACCTGCATCGAGGCGCAGCACAAACGTCAGAAGCGCACACCAACATTTTGCAAAGAATATCCGCATACTCTTTGTGCTCCCGAAATAAAGAGACGATGAACATGTCAGTACTTTGCACATATGAGTA